ATGTACAGTAAATTTTCTGCTTCATATTGAATAAATCTTTAGGTCATAAAATAAAAATGTATAACAAAACCATAAATTTTAAGAGGACATTAAGTTTTACTGATCAAAGCCAAGGAAGTCGTAGCAACAAGTAATTCATGAAAGAAGCTTTTCAACCAACAAGGAGTTTTTTTATTTCGGACAAAAACAAATTTTGTAGCAACAAGTCTTTTATTATGTACGTGTTATTGATGACTTGAGGAAAATATTATAGATTTCTTTTTTTTAAATTTTCTTAATGTTACTTTTGCATTTATTTGTTAATTTGTGAAATTGTTTTTGTTCGTTTTTTTTTGGTGTGTAAATGCATCGTCGTTATTTATTAATTTGGGTTTTTGAATTTCTTTCAGACTTTAAAGTTTTAGCTGTTGGTGGTTGGTTGAACTTATTTCTGTGCAAAATGATCTAGTTTTGTCATCATAAAAATATTTAGTGAAAGTTAAATGCGATTTTTTTTTGTTGGCATCTTGCACTTGTTAGTTTTTTTTTTTTTTTGTTTCGAATACATCATTTCGATTTGAGTACTTGTATCTAAATACAAGTACAAAACCAAAAATTCAATTCAATTCAAATGTGGGCAAACATTTTTGTGTAAATGACGCGGCGACGGTGTATCTTGTTTTGGTAACATTAGTTGTTGGTTTGCTAACCAATTTCCACCAATAAAAACTCTAGGTTTCTTTTGCATTTTTTTTTATTCAGCCATTTATTTCATTTTAAAGTCTTATTACCATGAATGTACTTTAGTTTTGGTTTGTAGTTGTTTTATTTAGTTTTTCCATAATGAAATAATAAAATGAATTGAAGTTGATTTGAAGTGTGTTTTAAGTTTTAGTTGCCACATTTAACTGCCACTCCAATGCTCACTTTTACGTTAAACTAGAGGTTTGATTTTCCTCTGTTATGGTTTTGCTTTTTGCCGCATTTGAGTAGAAACAACAACAAAAATATAGCAGCTGTTACCATAAATACGTTAACTAAAGCGTGGCAATAACAACAACAAAGAGAAAAATATAAATAAAATCATAATAATGCAACGTTTAACAAGATTCAGTTGTAATTTAAGTCATCATGGAAAAAAGTGGGTGGAGTTTTAAAATGAAAACACTACGAAGGTAATTTAAACAATATTTTAACATAAAAAAGCTATAATCAGAAGATTTTAAAATCTAAATTGAATAAGAAAACTTAAGAAGCTATAGCAGTGATTGCATACAATCAATTCAAATTTTAAACCATTTAAATGGTCCTTCGAACTCACTCAATATTATCCACTTTTCTACAGAAATTTTCTTTTTGATCTACAGTAGATTTTTACAAAAATATATCTGTGATATAGAGAATATTTTTTTTTAGATATTTCGCTTGTGATATCAAGAAGATTTCTATAGAAAATTTTTCTGTGATCAGGTGGGAGAACTGAACTAGAACAGAACTAGAACTGAACTAGAACAGAACTAGAACAGAACTAGAACAGAACTAGAACAGAACTAGAACAGAACTAGAACTGAACTAGAACTGAACTAGAACAGAACTAGAACATAACTAGAACAGAACTAGAACAGAACTAGAACTGAACTAGAACTGAACTAGAACAGAACTAGAACTGAACTAGAACTAAACTAGAACTGAACTAGAACCGAACTAGAACTGAACTAGAACTGAACTAGAACTGAACTAGAACTGAACTAGAACTGAACTAGAACAGAAGTAGAACAGAACTAGAACAGAACTAGAACAGAACTAGAACAGAACTAAAACAGAAACTAAAACAGAACTAGAACAGAACTAGAATAGAACTAAACAGAACTAAAACAGAACTAGAACAGAACTAGAATAGAACTAAAACAGAACTAGAACTGAACTAGAACAGAACTAGAACAGAACTAGAACAGAACTAGAACAGAACTAGAACCGAACTAGAACAGAACTAGAACAGAACTAGAACAGAACTAGAACAGAACTAGAACAGAACTAGAACAGAACTAGAACAGAACTAGAACTGAACTAGAACTAGAACAGAACAGAACTAGAACAGAACAGAACTAGAACAGAGCTAGAACAGAACTAGAACAGAACTAGAACAAAACTAGAACAGAACTAGAACAGAACTAGAACAGAACTAGAACAGAACTAGAACAGAACTAGAACAGAACTAGAACTAGAACAGAACTAGAACTAGAACAGAACTAGAACAGAACTAGAACAGAACTAGAACAGAACTAGAACAGAACTAGAACAGAACTAGAACAGAACTTGAACAGAACTAGAACAGAACTAGAACAAAACCATAACAGAACTAGAACAGAATTAGAACAGAATTAGAACAGAATTAGAACAGAATTAGAACAGAATTAGAACAGAATTAGAACAGAATTAGAACAGAACTAGAACAGAACTAGAACTAGAACATAACAAGAACAGAACTAGAACAGAACTAGAACAGAACTAGCACAAAACTAGAACAGAACTAGAACAGAACTAGAACTAGAACAGAACTAGAACAGAACTAAAACAGAACTAAAACAGAACTAAAACAGAACTAGAACTAGAACAGAACTAGAACAGAACTAGAACAGAACTAGAACAGAACTAGAACAGAACTAGAACAGAACTAGAACAGAACTAGAACAGAACTAGAACAGAACTAGAACAGAACTAGAACAGAACTAGAAGTGAACTAGAACTGAACTAGAATAGAACTAGAACAGAACTAGAACTGAACTAGAACTGAACTAGCACTGAACTAGAACTGAACTAGAACTGAACTAGAACTGAACTAGAACTGAACTATAAAAGAACTAGAACAGAACTACAAGAGAACTAGAACAGAACTAGAACAGAACTAGAACAGAACTAGAACAGAACTAGAACAGAACTATAAAAGAACTAGAAACAGAACTAGAACAGAACTAGAACAGAACTAGAACAGAACTAGAACAGAACTAGAACAGAACTAGAACAGAACTAGAAGTGAACTAGAACTGACTAGAATAGAACTAGAACAGAACTAGAACAGAACTAGAACAGAACTAGAACAGAACTAGAACAGAACTAGAACAGAACTAGAACAGAACTAGAACAGAACTAGAACAGAACTAGAACAGAACTAGAACAGACTAGAACAGAACTAGAACAGAACTAGAACAGAACTAGAACAGAACTAGAACAGAACTAGAACAGAACTAGAACAGAACTAGAACAGAACTAGAAGTGAACTAGAAGTGAACTAGAACTGAACTAGAATAGAACTAGAACAGAACTAGAACTGAACTAGAACTGAACTAGAACTGAACTAGAACTGAACTAGAACTGAACTAGAACTGAACTAGAACTGAACTAGAACTGAACTATAAAAGAACTAGAACAGAACTACAAGAGGAACTAGAACAGAACTAGAACAGAACTAGAACAGAACTAGAACAGAACTAGAACAGAACTAGAACTGAACTAGAACTGAACTAGAACTGAACTGGAACTGAACTAGAACTGAACTAGAACTGAACTAGAACTGAACTAGAACTGAACTAGAACTGAACTAGAACTGAACTAGAACTGAACTAGAACTGAACTAGAACTGAACTAGAACTGAACAAGAACTGAATTAGAACAAAACTTAAACAGAACTAGAACAGAACTAGAACAGAACTTGAACAGAACTAGAACAGAACTAGAAAAGAACTAGAACAGAACTAGAACAGAACTAGAACAGAATTGGAACAGAACTAGAACAGAACTAGAACAGAACTTGAACAGAACTAGAACAGAACTAGAAAAGAACTAGAACAGAACTAGAACAGAACTAGAACAGAATTAGAATTAAACTAGAACTAGAACAGAACTAGAAACAGAACTAAAACAGAACTAGAACAGAACATAGAACAGAACTAGAACAGAACTAGAACAGAACTAGAACAGAACTAGAACAGAACTAGAACAGAACTAGAACAGAAACTAGAACAGAACTAGAACAGAACTAGAACAGAACTAGAACAGAACTAGAACAGAACTAGACAGAACTAGAACAGAACTAGAACAGAACTAGAACAGAACTAGAAGTGAACTAGAAGTGAACTAGAACTGAACTAGAATAGAACTAGAACAGAACTAGAACTGAACTAGAACTGAACTAGAACTGAACTAGAACTGAACTAGAACTGAACTAGAACTGAACTAGAACTGAACTATAAAAGAACTAGAACAGACCTACAAGAGAACTAGAACAGAACTAGAACAGAACTAGAACAGAACTAGAACAGAACTAGAACAGAACTAGAACTGAACTAGAACTGAACTAGAACTGAACTGGACTGAACTAACTGAACTAGAACTGAACTAGAAACTGAACTAGAACTGAACTAGAACCTGAACTAGAAACTGAACTAGAACTGAACTAGAACTGAACTAGAACTGAACTAGACTAGAACTGAACTAGAACTGAACTAGAACTGAACTAGAACTGAACTAGAACTGAACTAGAACTGAACAAGAACTGAATTAGAACAAAACTTAAACAGAACTAGAACAGAACTAGAACAGAACTTGAACAGAACTAGAACAGAACTAGAAAAGAACTAGAACAGAACTAGAACAGAACTAGAACAGAATTGGAACAGAACTAGAACAGAACTAGAACAGAACTTGAACAGAACTAGAACAGAACTAGAACAGAACTAGATCAGAATTAGAATTAAACTAGAACTGAACTAAAACCGAATTAGAACTGAACTAGAACTAAACTAGAACTGAACTTGAACTGAACTAAACTGAACCAGAACTGAACTAAAACTGAACTCTCTCTCCAATAAAGGGAAGATTGTTTTAGTAATTTTCCCGATCATCGGTAAATGGAAAATGTTCTATGATCTGGAGAAGATATCTATAGACATTGTTATTGCTTTATGTAAATTTATAAGACTTTGGAATATACATAGGTTTTTATTAAACATTTTGAAACTTACCTTTATAAATTTTAAATAATTTATATTCTTTTGATTGTGATTTAGTTAATCCAATAGTAATGCAAGAAAATGTTCACTGCAAAGATAAAGAAATAAAAAAATTCCAATAATAATTTAAATTAAAACTTCTTCTCATAAAGTTATGATAGATTTTAATATTCTTTTATATAATTTAATAAATTTAATTAAAATGCAAATCCTTTAAAATAAATATTTATTTATTTACATTAAAAAAAAACATATAATTTCCTATAATAAACTTTTGTTTACCAAAAGTCCACCAAACAAAAATTTAAAAAAAATATATATGTATATAAAATGCATTTATTAAAAATTTAATTTAAATAAAGAATATTACATAATTTCATTTATGGTTGTTGTTGTTATATTTGGTTGTTCTCGAGCCCAAAAATAACTCATTGCATTATTTATTTAGTATACAACCCAAAAAAAAAAAGTTCATTTAATAACAGATAATAATTATTTATACAATTTTTTTGTTATTAATAAATTTTAAAAAATTCATACGTTCATTTACTCTTAAATTAAACAACAAATAAACAATAATGAAAAATTAAATAAAAGAACAACAACAATAAACTGATATTAATAATAAAATATTTCAAAATTAAGTTGATTGAACGTAAGGAAAAAAAGGTAATGAAATTATGTTTGTCAGAATAAATATATTAATTTATAAACAAATCATACACTGAGAGAAAATAAATAAGGCGGGAAATTTTCCATAATGTAAAGAGAAGATTTCCATCACAATTTACTCTTAATATAGCAAACTGAACTAGAATTGAACTAGAACTGAACTGGAACTGATGTAAATCAGAACTAGAACTGAACTATAACTGAACTATAACTGAACTATAACTGAACTAGAACTAAACTAGAACTGAACTATAACTGAACTAGAAATGAATTACAACTGACCTAGAACTAACCTAGAACTGAACTAGAACTGAACTAGAACTGAACTAAAACTGAACTAGAACTGAACTAGAACTGAACTAGAACTGAACTAGAACTGAACTGAACTAGAACTGAACTAGAACTGAACTAGAACTGAACTAGAACTGTACTAGAACTGAACTAGAACTGAACTAGAACTGAACTAGAACTGAACTAGAACTGAACTAGAACTGAACTAGAACTGAACTAGAACTGAACTAGAACTGAACTAGAACTGAACTAGAACTGAACTAGAACTGAACTAGAACTGAACTAGAACTGAACTAGAACTGAACTAGAACTGAACTAGAACTGAACTAGAACTGAACTAGAACTGAACTAGAACTGAACTAGAACTGAACTAGAACTGAACTAGAACTGAACTAGAACTAAACTAGAACTGAACTAGAACTGAACTAGAAATGAACTAGAACTGAACTAGAACTGAACTAGAACTGAACTAGAAACTGAACTAGAACTGAACTAGAACTGATCTATGAACTAAACTGAACTAGAACTGAAATAGAACTGAAATAGAACTGAACTAGAACTGAACAAGAACTGAACTAGAACTGAACTAGAGCTGAACTAGAGCTGAACTAGAACTAGAACTGAACTAGAAACTGAACTAGAACTGAACTAGAACTGAACTAGAACTGAACTAGAACCTGAACTAGAACTGAACTAGAACTGAACTAGAACTGAACTAGAACTGAACTAGAACTGAACTAGAACTGAACTAGAACTGAACTAGAACTGAACTAGAACTGAACTAGAACTGAACTAGAAGTGAACTAGAACTGAACTAGAACTGAACTAGAAGTGAACTAGAAGTGAACTAGAAGGAACTAGAAGTGAACTAGGAACTGAACTAGAACTGAACTAGAATCGAACTAGAACTACTAGAACTGACACTAGAACTGAACTAGACTGAACTAGAACTGAACTAGAACTGAACTAGAACTGAACTAGAACTGAACTAGAACTGAACTAGAACTGACTAGCAATCTGAACTAGAACTGAACTAGAACTGAACTAGAACTGAACTAGAACTGAACTAGAACTGAACTAGAACTGAACTAGAACTGAACTAGAACTGAACTAGAACTGAACTAGAACTGAACTGAACTAGAACTGAACTAGAACTGAACTAGAACTGAACTAGAACTGAACTAGAACTGAACTAGAACTGAACTAGAACTGAACTAGAACTGAACTAGAACTGAACTAGAACTGAACTAGAACTGAACTAGAACTGAACTAGAACTGAACTAGAACTGAACTAGAACTGAACTAGAACTGAACTAGAACTGAACTAGAACTGAACTAGAACTGAACTAGAACTGAACTAGAACTGACTAGAACTGAACTAGAACTGAACTAGAACTGAACTAGAACTGACTAGAACTGAACTAGAACAGAACTAGAACTGAACTAGAACTGAACTAGAACTGAACTAGAACTGAACTAGAACTGAACTAGAACCAAACTAGAATTGAACTAGTACTAAACTAAAACTGAACTAGAACTGAACTAGAACTGATGTAAAACTGAACTAGTATAAAGAAGTTTTGTCATCATTGTAGAGAATGAAGATTTTAAAAACTGTATTCAAACCAGGTTTAGTTAGTATACGTTCTTTAATCTAAGTTTAACTAAAGCAGTAAAACCTAAAATTGTGTTTTTTATAAAATTTTATTTTTGCCAATTAGTGTAAAGGTGTTAAAAACCATCAACAAAATTTAAAAAAAATTGGAATTTTAACAAAAAATTTTATGCATTTGTAAGCAAAAGTACTTAAAATACCTACATGAAGCAGAAAACAGAAAAAAACACTGTTGTTATAGTTGCTTTTAGTGTCAGAACCCAAAGTGACGTGTTACATGTCAAAAAACAAAATTAAATTTTATAATAACGAGTTGTTGTTTTTATAATTTTCTTTTAATACATAAATAACAAAAAAATTAAAAAATTTTTTTTTTTTTTTGCTTAAAATTTTGTCATGGTACAAAAATATTTATACACTTAGAGAAATTTTGAACATTTTTTAAAACACTTTGTTTTCTTTTTTTGCTTTTATTAGTTAGTTGTTTTGATTTTATGCTTTTTCATTCTAAAATGATGTTTTTTTATGTTTTGTTATTTTTTTTTCTCGTTGGCGTTTTTGTAAATTTTTTTTATATTATTTTTACCGGCAAAAATACAATAACAAAAATTTATTGTTATTTTTTTTTTTTTTGCTGTCTATCGTGTTGTGGTGTTGTTGTTGATTTTCTAGTTAAAATTTTTATATATACAACAAACAAAATATTGCATAAAACCGTTGTTGTTGTTTTTTATATTCTTCTTTAGATTTTTTTCTCTATTTGTTTAAAACGATTTGTTATGATTTTTATTTTTACTACCCCACTTGCGCGTTTAAAAGAAATTTCCGAAAAAAAAACACTACCACCAGCCGAATAAAAACAAATTTAAAACAACAATTCTACACAATTTTTTGTTATTTCCTTCCACCGCACGAGTTCATAGTGTAAATAACGAAACAAAAAAGCGAAAACCTAACCATAATTATAAATACACATCCCTGCATTGGTTGGATTCTGGTTCCGTACCGTACGTACGCCAAAAAAATAGTATAAACACTACACACCGACGAATTATGACGATGGCGACGAGGAGCAACACAAAAAACAAAATAATCTCTATCGAAAAAGTTCACAACAAATACTAAACTAAACAATTTAAGTTGTTGTGCAAAATATTTGCAAAATTGTTGTTTTCTTATGAGACCCCAAAATCGTTTGTTGTTGTTGCAAAAATTTTGCACATATCAACAAAAAAATACACATTTTAAATAAAAAAAAAGCTGCCAGATTTTTGCAAACCCAAATACTCCCAATTTCAAAAGAAATTTTCCATCAACAGTAGCAATTTTTTTCGCGATCACAGAGAGAATTTTTATGGAAATTTTTTTAATCACAGATAGAAAATTTTCTCTATGAGAGAAAGACAATTTCTATAGAAAAGATCTCGATCAGAGAGATATATTTTCTAAAGGAATTTTCTAGATCACAGAGCGAAATATCTATAGAAATCTTCTCGATCAGAGAGAGAATGACAAGTTCTATAGACATTTACTCGATCAGATAGACTATTTCTAAAGACTTTTCTCGAACTTCAAAGACAATTGCGATAAAAATTTTCTCAATCAAAGAGAGACAATTTTTATAGAAATTTTCTCGATAATAAAGAGAAAATTTATATAGAATTACTTCAGTTCTGCAGAGAAACATTTCTATAGAAATGCTCACGATCAGAGAGAGACAATTTCTATAGAAGTTTTTACGATTAGAGAGAGACAATTTCTATAGAAGTTTTCTCGATCAGAGAAATTTTCTCAATCACAGAGAGACAATTTCTATAGAAATTCGCTCGATCATACAGAGACAGTTTCTATAGACATTTGCCCGATCAGGGAGAGAAAATTTCTACAGAGTTATATCGAGCAGAGAGAGACAATTTCTATAGAAATTTCTAGATCAGAGAGAGACAGTTTCTATAGACTTTTGCTCCATCAGGGAGAGACAATTTCTATAGAATACAGAGTTTCAGTTCTAGTTCAGTTCTAGTTCAGTTCTAGTTCAGTTCTAGTTCAGTTCTAGTTCAGTTCTAGTTCTGTTCTAGTTCTGTTCTAGTTCTGTTCTAGTTCTGTTCTAGTTCAGTTCTAGTTCAGTTCTAGTTCAGTTCTAGTTCAGTTCTAGTTCAGTTCTAGTTCTGTTCTAGTTCTGTTCTAGTTCTGTTCTAGTTCTGTTCTAGTTCTGTTCTAGTTCTGTTCCAGTTCTGTTCTAGTTCTGTTCCAGTTCTGTTCTAGTTCTGTTCTAGTTCTGTTCTAGTTCTGTTCTAGTTCTGTTCTAGTTCTGTTCTAGTTCTGTTCTAGTTCTGTTCTAGTTCTGTTCTAGTTCTGTTCTAGTTCTGTTCTAGTTCTGTTCTAGTTCTGTTCTAGTTCTGTTCTAGTTCTGTTCTAGTTCTGTTCTGTTTCTAGTTCTGTTCTAGTTCATTTCCAGTTCTGTTCTAGTTCAGTTCTAGTTCAGTTCTAGTTTCAGTTCTAGTTCAGTTCTAGTTCAGTTCTAGTTCAGTCTAGTTCAGTTCTAGTTCAGTTCTAGTTCAGTTCTAGTTCAGTTCTAGTTCAGTTCTAGTTCAGTTCTAGTTCAGTTCTAGTTCAGTTCTAGTTATAGTTCAGTTCTAGTTATAGTTCAGTTCTAGTTATATTCAGTTCTAGTTATAGTTCAGTTCTAGTTATAGTTCAGTTCTAGTTATTAGTTCAGTTCTAGTTATAGTTCAGTTCTAGTTCAGTTCTAGTTCAGTTCCAGTTCAGTTTCTAGTTCAGTCTAGTTCAGTTCTAGTTCAGTAGTTCAGTTCTAGTTCAGTTTCTAGTTCAGTTCTAGTTCAGTTTCTAGTTCAGTTCTAGTTCAGTTCTAGGTAGTCAGTTTTTCTAGTTCAGTTCTAGTTCAGTTCTAGTTCAGTTCTAGTTCAGTTCTAGTTCAGTTCTAGTTCAGTTCTAGTTCAGTTCTAGTTCAGTTCTAGTTCAGTTCTAGTTCAGTTCAGTTCAGTTTCTAGTTCAGTTCTAGTTCAGTTCTAGTTCAGTTCTAGTTCAGTTCTAGTTCGTTCTAGTCAGTCTAGTTCAGTTTCTAGTTCAGTTCTAGTTCAGTTCTAGTTCAGTTCTAGTTCAGTTCTAGTTTCAGTTCAGTTATTCAGTTCTAGTTCAGTTCTAGTTCAGTTCTAGTTCAGTTCTAGTCAGTTCTAGTTCAGTTCTAGTTCGTTCTAGTTCAGTTCTAGTTCAGTTCTATTTCAGTTCTACTGAACTACAACTGAAAGTTCAGTTCTAGCTCATTTCTAGTTCGTTGTAGTTCGATTTCTATAAAGTTTTTCCCATGTTTTACTGTTAACAAATCCATCATCTGGCATCCTCTATTAATATTTTGATTAAGTAAATTACTCTCCTAAGTTCTAATGAAACTCTTTTTGAATTTTGGGGGGTCTTTTTACAATTCTCCTGCTCTTTTCTTTACACTCATTTCAGGTCCATTCACGCTCTTTTCATTGACAGTAATATAAGCAAGAGCATAATCAAGTAATATTTTCTAAAATCTCCCCAAATTCTCTATTCTATAATTGAACATTACTCTGAGTTGTTGTTGTAGTTGTTGCTGGTTTCTCTATATAGAAGAAAAAACAACATGCATTTGCACTTTACTTTTCATACATTGTTGTTACATGGTTTTTGTAAGTGTTGGTATGTACATATGTTTTTTTTTTTTGCTTTTATTGCTGAGTACATACATACATAAGTGAAGTCTCCCCCATTCCAATAATTGTTAACCCAGTCAATAATGTTCGTTTTTTTGGGGGGGCTTTTACTTTGAGGTGCTATTGAAATTTTCATTAGTTGTTAGTAAGAGTTTGTGTAAAGATTTAAGATTTTGTATATTTTTGGTTGGTCAGTGTTTTTTTGTTGATATTTTGCATAATTTATTGATTTTTTTGAGGGAGAGGGGGGTGATAAAAAGCAATTTAGATTTTTATATAATTAAAAAAATTTTATATAATATTGTGTAGTAAGAGATTAGTTTATAAAGAAGTGAGGGATAGGATGGTTTATATTGTATCAACTAAAAATGATTTAAATATGTTGATAATACTGAGAAATTTAATTAAAATTTATAAAAAAACTATTGGTTTATATCCTTGAGGTAGGTTATGAGTTTAAGCTAAAATACAAAAGGAAAAAAAATGATTTAAATATGATTATAAAAATAAACTAGATCTTAACTAGAAGTGAACTAGAACTTGCACTAGAACGGAACTAAAACTGAAACTAAGAAACTGAACTATAACTGAACTAGAACTGAACTAGAAATGAACTATTAACTGAACTAGAACTGAACTAGAACTGAACTAGAACTAACTAGAACTAGAACTAGACCTTAACTAGAACTGAACTAGAACTGAACTAGAAAACTGAACTAGAACTGAACTAGAACTGACTAGAACTGAACTAGAACTGAACTAGAACTGAACTAGAACTGAACTAGAACTGAACTAGAACTGAACTAGAACTGAACTAGAACTGAACTAGAACTGAACTAGAACTGAACTAGAACTGAACTAGAACTGAACTAGAAGAACTGAAACTGAACTAGAACTGAACTAGAACTGAACTAGAACTGAACTAGAACTGAACTAGAACTGAACTAGAACTGAACTAGAACTGAACTAGAACTGAACTAGAACTGAACTAGAACTGAACTAGAACTGAACTAGAACTGAACTAGAACTGAACTAGAACTGAACTAGAACTGAACTAGAACTGAACTAGAACTGAACTAGAACTGAACTAGAACTGAACTAGAACTGAACTAGAACTGAACTAGAACTGAACTAGAACTGAACTAGAACTGAACTAGAACTGAACTAGAACTGAACTAGAACTGAACTAGAACTGACTAGAACTGAACTAGAACTGAACTAGAACTGAACTAGAACTGAACTAGAACTGAACTAGAACTGAACTAGAACTGAACTAGAACTGAACTAGAACTGAACTAGAACTGAACTAGAACTGAACTAGAACTGAACTAGAACTGAACTAGAACTGAACTAGAACTGAACTAGAACTGAACTAGAACTGAACTAGAACTGAACTAGAACTGAACTAGAACTGAACTAGAACTGAACTAGAACTGAACTAGAACTGAACTAGAACTGAACTAGAACTGAACAAACTGAACTAAAGAAACTAGAACTGAACTAGAACTGAACTAGAACTGAACTAGAACTGAACTAGAACTGAACTAGAACTGAACTAAACTGAACTAGAACTGAACTAGAACTGAACTAGAACTGAACTAGAACTGAACTAGAACTGAACTAGAACTGAACTAGAACTGAACTAGAACTGAACTAGAACTGAACTAGACTGAACTAGAACTGAACTAGAACTGAACTAGAACTGAACTAGAACTGAACTAGAACTGAACTAGAACTGAACTAGAACTGAACTAGAACTGAACTAGAACTGAACTAGAACTGAACTAGAACTGAACTAGAACTGAACTAGAACTGAACTAGAACTGAACTAGAACTGAACTAGAACTGAACTAGAACTGACTAGAACTGAACTAGAACTGAACTAGAACTGAACTAGAACTAGAACTGAACTAGAACTGAACTAGAACTGAACTAGAACTGATGAAGCTGAACTAGAATGATGAAACTAAAAAGAACTGAACTAGAACTGAACTAGAACGAACTAGACTGAACTAGAACTGAACTAGAATCGAACTAGAACTGAAGTAGAATGAACTAGAACTAGAACTGAACTAGAACTAAACAGAACTGAACTAGAAGATTAACTGAACTAGAACTGCACTAGAACCGAACTAGAACTGAACAGAACTAAGAGAACTGAACTAGAACTGATTTAATGCTGAACTAGAACTGAACTAGAACTGAACTAGAACTGAACTAGAACTGAACTAGAACTGAATGAACTAGAACTGAACTAGAACTGAACTAGAACTGAACTAGAAATGACTAGAACTGAACTAGAACTAAACTAGAACTAACTAGAACTAAACTAGAACTAAACTAGAACTGAATTAGAACTAAACTAGAACTAAACTAGAACTGATTTAATGCTGAACTAGAACTGAACTAGAACTG